TTTTTTTCGTCGACAAAAATTATACTATCCGCGACGATTTAATAATTTTGTCGCAAATAGTGATTTTGGCAAATTCTTTTGCAACATTTTTTAAAAAAACATCGTGAAAAGGAGTTTCCCACCAAATTTTTTTGGCACAAGAAAAATGGCTGGAGTTTATATTTTTTGCAACAAAATTTGTTTGTCGTGGATAGTTTTACTTCGTCGCAAAAAAATAATATAAATTTAAAATAAAAATAAACTCAAAATATTTAATTCGCAACGTTTAATATTATCATAGCAGAATATAAATTTTAATTAATATTAATTAGCGACGTTTTTTATTATTTTGTCGGGAATATTTATTTTTTCATGAAGCTTTTAAAAATTCGTTGCAGAATATAAATTTTATTTTTTATTAAATAAAGTTATTATTTCTCAACATTTTAATATTCGTCACAAATTAGAATTTAATTTGTAATTTTAAATTAGAATTAGAGTATTAATTGCGACGTTTTTTTTTTGTCGCAAAAACTGAACTTGCCGCGACGATTTAATATTTTTGTCGCAAATAGTGTTTTTGGTAATTTTTTTGCGATGTGAAAAGGAGATTTCCACCAAAATTTTTTGGGGCGAGAAAAGGGCGGGGAGTTAATATTTTTTGTGATAAATTTTTTTTTTGTCGTCGATAGTTTCAATTCGTTGCAAACAAAATAATAATATAAAATCAAAATAAAAATAAAGTCAAAGAATATATATTTTAATTAATACTAATTAGCGACGTTTTTTATTATTTTTTCGGAAATAGGTATTTTTGTGCGACATTTATAAAAATTCGTTGCAGAATATAATTTTTATTTTATATTAAATAAAATTATTATTTCGTGACATTTTAATATTTTTCACAAATTAGTATTTAATTTGTAATTTTAAATTAGAATTAGAATATTAATTGCGACGTTTTTTTTTGTCGCAGAAAATGAACTTTCCGGGACGATTTCATATTTTTGTCGCAAATAGTATTTTTGGCAAATTTTTTTGGCGATGTTAAAAACGTCACGAAAGGGTAATTCAAATCAAATTTTTTTCTTGGTGCGAGAAATATGGAGGGAGTTGATATTTTTTGCAACAAAATGTTTTTGTCTCGAATAATTTTAATTCGTTGCAAAAAAAAATGTAAAATAAAAATAAAAACCAAGTCAAAATATTTAATTCGCAACATTTAATATTATCGTCACAGAATATAAATATTAATTAGCAATGTTTTTTATTATTTTGTCGGGAATATTTATTTTTTAGCAACGTTTTTAAAAATTCGTCGCAGAATATAAATTTTATTTTTGTATCAAATAAAATTATTATTTCGTGATATTTATATATGCATCACAAATTATATTTTACTTTGTAATTTTAAATTAGAATTAGAAGATTAATTGCGATGTTTTATGACAAAATTTTGTTTGTCGCAGATAGTTTTTCTTCATCGCAAAAGTAAATAATCTAAAATTAAAATTAAAATTAAAATAAAGTCAAAATATTTAATGCACGACATTTTTTCATCGTAAAATTGTCATTTTTTGTCTCTTTTTTTGCGCAAAATGAAAATTTGTTAGTTTGGTAAAAAATAATTTGTCACAAAAAAAATAATTAAAAAATAAATTAAAATAAAATAAAAATATTAAATTGCAACGTTTTTATTTTCATGGCATAATGTAAATTACAACCGCATTTAAGGGTAAAATAAAATAAAAATATTAAATTACGACATTATGTTCGTCGTAGAATATAATTTTTAAAAAATTCAAAATAACGTCGTTTTGGACATTAAAAAAAAAAAAAAACCACCTACATAAATTGAGATTTATTGCCCATCCTTTTTTTCCCTCTTTCTCATTTTTCCAATATCTCCCTCTTTGCTTATTTCAGTCAACATACACAGTACTGTCTCTCTTTCTCTCTCTCTCATTGTCGCTATTCTCTTTGTTCCCTTCCCTCTACAAGCCGAAGTGTTGCTTGCCCTCAATCTTGAACCAAATCATTTCTTACCCTCCCATTGCTGAGGTAAAGATCCCATTGAAAAACTACTAGGTGAGTTTTTGCATCTCTACATGAAAAGTGCAGACTCCGTATGATTCTTGTGAGTCTCACATTTTATGTTAATTTAAACTTATTAAATATTTGCAATGACTTGGTTAAGTTATTGGAATTAGTGGTTTTGAGTGTCTATTTTCTTGTTCCTTAACTATTACTCTGTGAATTTGAAAAACTACTTTGTCTTAAGTGTCAGTTTGGTAGCTCTTAGCAGAGAAAATAGGGGGGTTTTCTTGAATTTTTTTTTTCTTTTTTTCACTTTTTTGTTTTGCAGATCGACTCAATCCCAAGTGGAAATCTGGCAGAGGTATTGGACAGGTCGTGGGAGGAAGAATTGTGGGAGGGATAAGTTTTGGTGATTTTCTATACTTTTTGTATTCGATATACATAAACATGGCATAATGTGAAAAAAGGGAAAAAAGTAATGTTGGTTTGTGAAAATATTTTTAGGGAAAATATTTTGCGAGTAGAATGTTAACTTTAGTTATTAAAGTAAAAAAAAAATAAAAATATTAATTGACGACGTTTTTTATAAGTTTGTCCAAAATATTTATAAGTTTGTCGAGAAAATTTATAAGTTTGTCTGAAATATTAAAAAAAATAAAAATTTAATTTGCGATGTTTTTTATTTTCGTCGCAGCATTTAAATTATAACCACATTTAAAGTTAAAATAAAATAAAATAAATTTTAAATCGCGACGTTTTTATTTTTGTAGGCGAATATAATATTAAAAAAATAAAACGACTTCGTTTTAGGCATTTTTTGCCTTTTTTTTAAAAATTTTTTCCCTTACCCAACTCTTTTTTCCTCTTTCCCCATCTTTCCCTCTGTTTTCCCCATCTTTCCCTCTTCGTTTTCAGTCAACACACACACATACACACACACTCTCTGCCTCTCTCTCCCTCTCCATCGATTGCACTCAAAGAGCCACACACACACACTCTCTTCCTCTCACTGCCTCTCTCCCTCTCCATCGATTGCACTCAAAGCCACAATCCAGTGAAGCCACAAGCACCATCGATCGTAACCGCCTCCTCTCTCTCTCTCTCTCTCGCCATCGATTCACTCCACTCTCGCCACCTCCTCTATCTCTTTGCCTCTCCATCGATTGAACTCGAAGCCACAAGCCATTGAAGTCACAAGCACCATCGATCGTTGCCGCCCCCATCGATTCAGTCCACGGTTGGTTTCACCCACCAGGTTCTTCGTTTACATCTCTCTCATATCTCTTTTTGTAACATATACGAATTAGAATTTCTATCTTGCTTTCCCCCACAAATTTAGCTCTTATTGTATTTGGTTGGTTTGTAGTTGTAAAATTTATCGCAAATTTTAGTGGGAAGAAGCTTCTATGTATTCGTTTTTAGTTTTTCCTTTATTGGTCTTTTGGTGACTTTGATGGGTATTGAGTAAACATTGGATCTTTGTTGTGTGAAGGCTATTTGTTATACTTTTATCCTTTTGGGGGGTGATTTGCATTTCTGTGAATTTGTACCTGCTCTGTTTTGGAGAGTTCCTGGGATTTGCTTTGATTTTATTGTTCTATGTGACTATATGTATTTATCTATTTACTGCCTTTGTTATCTAGTTATCTATTTACTGGCCTAGCGCCTTGACAATCTATTGTAATTGTTTTATCTTTCCCCTGGTCATTTACTATTCTCATGTGTTTTGAATTTGAATTTGTAACAAGATAAGCTCTCTTTGTCACTATCAAGTGCTGGTCTGTAATTCATTGTCTTTTCCACCTGTTCTAATAAAATTTTCTACCCGTACTACGTAATAGTATTCTTGGTCTGTCATTACATGTGGGTTTGGAATTTGGCCAAAACTAAGAAGGAAACTTCTCATTCCCAAATGTTCCTCCCATGGTAGATATTTTATAGGAGGTTTAGCTTATTGGTTTTGATGAAATTAAAGAGGTGAGTTGTCAGTTGATTACTTCCACATGAATTTATTCATTCAATCTCAAAATATTTTAGTTTGGTCTTTAGTAGGGTGCTAACAGTTTAGAGCGATCAATGAAATTTTTTGCAGGGGAAAGCTGGTAGTGACATGACAGTAGAGGAAAGGATTTTATTGGCTTATTTTGATAAACTGTAAAGGGCAGCTTATCATTTGATTTCCATGTTTCAGGCAGAATTAATTGAGCCTGCTGTGAAGGGAACACTTAATGTCCTGACATCCTGTGCAAAAGTTTCATCTATCAAAAGGGTGGTAGTAACATCCTCCATGGCTTCCGTTAAATACAATGGAAAACCTCTAAAGCCCGATACAT